TCAGTGGCTCACAGATCGCCGCAAGCGTTCCCAGTTGATGAAGAAAGTGGACTCACGGCGACAAATCGAGTTGATACAAGATTTTGATATGCCCGGCGTGTGTACGTCCATGCGAATGAGCCCCGATCAGCAGTACATACTAGCGACAGGCACGTACAAACCACGGGTTAAATGTTTTGAAGTGTGCAATTTATCCATAAAGTTCGAACGTTGTTTCGATTCAGAGGTCACAACGTTTGAAGCTATCAGTGATGATTATAGCAAACTGGTGTGTGGGTGCAACGCTGCATACATACATGCTATGAATATTAAATACTGAACAAATTTCCTTCCTATTCATAGGTCTTTCTGCAATGCGACCGCTTTGTGGAAATACATTCTGCTTCTGGGCGTCATTACCGTTTGCGTATTCCACGCTTTGGACGTGATATGAAATACCATAAACCATCTTGTGATCTTTTCATTGTGGGCACAACACGTGTATGTACTTCACTTGTTTAATTTGTGTAATATATTTAACCATGATATTTGTAGGATATTTATCGCTTGAATCTGGAACGCGGGCAATTTTTGCAACCATACGAAACGGAGGCTAGTTGTGTAAATGCCTGCGATATTAATCCCGAGCATCAATTGCTTATGGTTGGTAGCAAAGAGGGTATGGTGGAGGCTTGGGATCCACGCAGCAAAACGCGTGTTGGTACGTTGGATGTGGCTATCAAATTACCAGGGACAAAAACGTTTCCTTCTGTCTCCGCATTGAAGTATAAAAATGGGTTGCAAATGGGTGTAGGCACCGCTTCCGGGCATGTACTTCTCTATGACATACGCTCACATGACCCACTGCTTGTAAAGGATCATTTAAATAAAGTGGCGGTAAAGCGCATTGCTTTCAACCCTGGTCATCAGACGGTTTATTCATTGGATGATGCTATGTTAAAATTGTGGGATGAAAACACTGTAAGTCGAATTTGTCTTTAAATACAACATTTAATAGTAACGAATTTTCAGGGCAAACAAGTCGCCTACATAGAATCCACAACATCCTTCAACGATTTCTGCACTATTCCCGATACAGGAATGTTTTTCCTTGCACAAGAAGATGTAAAAATGTTGACCTACTACGTGCCTTCAATGGGTCCGGCGCCGCGTTGGTGCTCATTCTTAGATAATCTTACGGAAGAAATTGAATCTGAGGTGGTGGAGAATATGTTCGACGATTATCAGTTTGTGACGCAGAATGAATTGGAGGAATTGGGACTGGAGCATTTGATTGGCAGTAATCTACTGAAAGGCTACATGCACGGGTAAATTATAAATGCATACACAAAAAGACCTAATCTAAATTTTTTACCGAACTTTTTTTTAGCTATTTCATCGACGCACGTTTATACAACAGGGCCAAAGCTGTGGCTGATCCATTTGCCTTTGAACGCTTCCGTAAAGAGAAAATACGTAAAGAGATTGAAAGTGAGCGTAAATCACGTCTACAGATTAAGTCAAACCTTCCAAAAGTCAATCAAGAGCTGGCACTTAAAATTATGGACGAGCAGTCTAATTCCAAAAAGTCTGCTAAAGCAGCAAATCTACTCGAGGATACACGTTTCAAGGCAATGTTTGAAAATCCGGAATTTGCTATTAACAAGAATGCTGAAGAGTACAAGCTGTTGGCGCCTGCGCTTAATCGCCTCGGAAAATCCAAGCTTAAAGAAATAAAAAAACGCGTTGAAGTAGCACGCGTAGCGGAGCTGCATGCAGACGAAGCGAAACCACACGAGGAAAGTGATAATGATGAGGATCTTTTTGGTTTCGAAAAAAGTGATGAAGATGATGGAAAGAAATCGGTTGCCGAAGAATCTTCAGATGATGAGGGAGTGCGTGAGTTCTCAAAAGAAATGAAGAAGGCATACAAGGATGTGAGAAGACAACGTGAAGAGGAGGAACTTGCGGAAAATGAACACGCGGGTGATGAGGATGCCAACAGCGATGATGAGCAAACAACTCCAATGGACAACACGACTAGCTCATCAACAAATAATCAGCGAAGAGTCAGCGTTAAAATGACATCTCTGGAAGATAACAACCTGAAATTAAGTGAAATGCGCAGTAAAATAATGAAAATTAGCCTTAAGGATCGCGTACGATTCAATGAAGCCTCTAGCGCGAATGTGACTACGATTGGACGTTCACTGGGTAACCGACAAATGACATTTGACATGAAGAAGAAGGCAACTAAAGATGAAAAGAAGAGAGAGTATTTAATGAAGAAACATCGAGAAGAGCGGAAAAAGATCATACGGCCTATACATGCGCTAAAACTGAAGAAGGTTAACTTTAAGTAAAAATAATTTTATTTTGTTTACATTTAAATAATGTACATAAATTAATCTTGTAAATTTTCTTTGAAAAATTCTTAAGGATTTTCCAATTTTTTTGGAGTTTAGGGAATCATTTATTAAATTAAATATGAAAAAAATAAATTTTTATTTATTTATAAAAGGCTTAGACAACAACAACTATTATATAAACCAGAAAACAAGGCGCTAGCAACAGAGGCTTTCNCTATTAAATTAAATATGAAAAAAATAAATTTTTATTTATTTATAAAAGGCTTAGATAACAACTATTATATAAACCAGAAAACAAGGCGCTAGCAACAGAGGCTTTCGGCTGACTGTTGAATGAGGGCAAGTTAGATACGACAAAGTTGATCAGAGTCTTTTAAGAAGTTGTAAGTTTTAGAGATGTTATCATATGCAGAATTGTGTAGAGGTTGAATAGGATCCAAGCAAACAAAATTCATGTGTAGGGCAAAAGACTAACTAGTAAATGCAATAGCTGATTTCATATTCACCAAAAAGGCACTGGCTATGGCAACCACCATATAATAAATGAACGTAGATATCTATATCTATATCTATACATTTATACAAATTATATAAAGAGAAGTCCCTTTTTTTTGTAACAGGTAATCTCGTGAACGGCTGGTCCGATTTTCATGAAATTTTGTATATAAATAGCTTTCGGTAACCACCATGTTTTAGGCTTTTTTCGTGTAGGTGGACCAGGGACCGTTCTATTCGAAAAAATCTTATTATGGTCCGATTTGCTTAAAATTTAGGCGCAATCCGTAGCAAAACAAGATTCTTCAACTTTCGCTCATCTGTGCCCACGCACGGACGGAAGAGAATTACGATGCGTACAAGGATCCCTTCTATGAGTGCTGGGAGCGTAAATTTAATGCCAAGGTGGGCAAGGAAGGAACTTTTGGCGCCACTATCGGAAAATTCAGCCTCCACT